TTATACATGTTGGGATACGTTAGATCGCCTATTATCTGGCCGGACCACATCGCATCCCACAGCCCCACGAATAACCAATCATTCGTACCGTGCTCCCTGGTGGTTTAATTTGCTTAGACACGTGGCATGGAGGTAAATGTCCATACGCGTCGCCAGCCACAGCCGAAATCTCATTGTCGGTTGGCTCTACACAAGACTGACTGGTTTGGTCCACTGCCGTAAAACCCGGAGCACCGACATTCAAGGACAGTCGAATATGCAAGGCCTGAACGAAACAGGGGACATGGAAGACTTGACTGCAGCAGACCAAGGTCTTAACCACCCAAAGCCAGTCCACGTTCCCCTATTACCAAGTGGCATTCACGACATCCATGGCACTTTTCGGACACTTCTGTATTCACCGTCACCGGCTCTTCCTTTGCAAAGAAATGTCACCGTCGCCGGCACCATCGCTAAAGATAAACATTCTAACTTGAATTACTGTACTGGTAAGCTATACTTCCGATTTACTGTAGTGGAATGTCACAATGACAAATTCAAAGAGAACGGCGCTGGAACCAGTGGATAGCGTTACCACCGCCAGACAACGCGGACGGAATGTTCACTTGCTTACGCTGAGACCAACATTTCAGTAACGATTTGGGACGTGCTCGCTACCTCTCGAATCGACTGCGGCCTGACTGCAATTACGGTGCACTCCATCCACGCATATACTTCCAGGCCACACTGTCTGTGGAGTAAGACTCCATGTGGGCCTGTTCGATTGTGTCCATCATATAGTAAAATGTATGGCGTCTGCTTAGGGTATTAGAAAGGACATAGCCACTACTACTTTCAGACTCAATCCTGAAGAGGAAGTTGGTGGGACGCCAACTGGGAAGATACGGTGTCCTGTAGTGACTTCACTTTCGGCGTCATGCCATATATGGGGTCAGGTAATCGCCTTAACTCCTTTGCGGTAATGGTGACTGTCCGACGTGATATGAACTCTCAATTTCTGATCTGGCTGAG